CGGCTGAGTCATGTAGATGTAATGGGGGGATTTTGTTTTGGGTTAGATAGAAAAGTATTGTAAAGCTCAATAATCAATTAAATTGGTTTTTTTTTTTTGCGGGTAATCGGTTCAATTTCGGTTCGACGGCGTAAATACCATACCCGCACCGCCACGAACCGGTTCATAAAAATAAAAACCATATCCGCTCCATTGCACCATCGGTTCGATTTTTTTCGCCCCATTCGATTCGGTTAACCACGATTTTCGATTTTGACGGTTCAAATTGCCATCTCTATTTCCCCGGATGTCCTAACATTGACCAACCCTAGACTTAGGTAGCATGGACTACCGTTTAGGGTCCGAAATATGCCCCAAAAAACTTGGGCCCATTATTATTATTTTTGAAGCAGGTTCAGATACTTTTATGATAAAACAATACAAAGTTTCTAAATATAATAATCACATTTCAAAATTAACAAACTTGTTAAATTATTTCAAAATTCAAATATTAATTTAAATTTAATAATATATATAATATATTATTAATTGAAATCTTGAAACCAATTATCCCCACCCCACCCCATGTTCCCCTCACCTATAAAAAAATTTTAAAATTTGAAAATCTTTTCTGGAGACCCCACCCCACCCCTATCGTCCAAACAAATTTTGGAAATTAAAAGTTGGAAATAACAATCTACCCCATGGAACCACCTATCTCTCCCCACCTCCCAAATTTTTTTCAGAAATTAGAAATTGAAAATTACATTACATTCCACTTCACGAAACCACCCCACCTACCCACACCTATCCAAAAAATTTCCAAGTCACTAATATGTGTTATCTGTGACTAATTATTACCAAATTTATATTCAATGTGATTGTTACTAAATTTGTATTCAGTGTAACTGTCCATGATCAAATTAATTTTAATAGTGACGGTATATCATCAAGTCACAATCAATCACAATTAACAGAGAATTGATCACAATGTTCACAATAAAACACATACTTGACCATAAAGAGTGACTACAAACAAATCTTCATACACCGCATACCAACATCACAATCTAACCACTAGTCACCATCGCAATCACCTCCAACTTTACTATCTTCATTGACCCGTGTTATTTGTGACTATTTGTTTACAACTTTGTCTTTAGTGTGACTGTTTCTAACCATATCAATCTAATTTGTGATTGCATGTAACATAGTGACGTACTGTCACAATTAACATAGATTTGGTCATAGATAGTTACAATAAAAATAGATTTGGTCACACTCGATTTTTGTTACCACCAACACTATGACACCACCACTATTCCCAACAATGTTGAGAGCCAAATGCGCACAAACTCACCACGATCACATGGACCACCAACAACAGAACCATCACCACCTACATCACCACCAACGAACCATAGATCAGAAAACCACCCACAGATTAGAAAATCATCACTAGCAAAATTGTAGAAAAATTTGTTTCCAGTCTTAACGTTAGAATTGTGTAGCTTCCTTGGATCAAATGTTCAAAATTAAGTTTGAATAGGATGATTTTGTGGAATTTTGAGTTTTTGGGATTAACCTAGTGAATTTGATAGAGAGGAATGTTGAAATTCTCAATGGGACAATGACCACCATCGCTATTACC